TTCCCTAATTATCGGAATATTTGTGTTATTTTATACTATGATAGAGTAAAAATGCGACATACAACTGAACTGGCGAATGCCCTGTATCGTGAAATGTGATGTCTGATGTTTGATCGTTCTGGCACCTCGCCTGAAACGATTTGTCTTTCTTGATTAAAATTAAAAAAAAAAAAAAAAAAAAAAAAGAGGATGACAGTAATTATTTTGTGAGCTGATTGATTAGAGAACTGAAGACTTGCGGCATAGGCAAACACTGAGTTTCTCTGTCCTGGTCAAACCGCTCCAAAAATAGGAGGTATTTTGCCGCATTTTGAGTGTCGCAATAAACCGATAAGAATAGCGAAGCAAGGTAAGCAGTGCGGAAAAATAAGTGAGTACTGGCTGATATGCAGAAGTAAAAACTGTATCTTAGACTTGGAAGAACTACAGGACCAGTAAGAATAAGCTGTTTCATATGCAGAAAATTTATAATAGACATAAGCTAACTTCCTAATTAGAAATTTCTGTTTGAGAATTTTCGGTTTTTATGGTTCCTTTTGGTAGCTTTTACAGCGTCATTGTAGCTTTGTGTAGCTGTATTCGCGGAGGAGAATTACCGATTTTGTCGAAAAAGATTGAATACTCCTCATTTTTCTCTGATTGTCAGTGGATAGCGACACATGGGCTGAAATTTGCGGAATTACGAATTTCGGGATTTTATATTCTTGAGGGAAAACTATCCTATTTTTACACCCAGTTGTGACAGTGCTTTTGTTTTGTTCTACTTTTGCATTTTTATTTCTTTTTTTTGCGGGGAGGAGAGGGGAGGGGGGAGGAGAGGGGGAGCGGGGAACCGCAAGCAAGATTGTTTTTGATTTTTGTCATTGTCCAGTTTGTTTAGTTTTCTCAGTTCCTCACGGACCCATGCGTAGCGCTTGGCGCATTAGTTATGATTTTATAAAAATAATGACTTTGCCAGAAATCACGTAATTTTTTATAAATAAGGTAAGATTTAGTAAAATGTTTTGTTTGATTTAGTGGTCATCCGTATCATCGACTTTGGTTTTTTCTCACCAAATTCATTGTAAATCATACGTTTGAGTCGGCGGATCATCCCTGCATATCGGTGGCCTTCCAGCTTTGCTTTCTACATAATACATATGATTTCGTCTCTCTATGATTCTGCATCTGATTTGTTGTGGTCGACAACCATGCCATTGACTTCGGTCTTAAACTGATCACATTTACAATGTATAATGCGTTTGAGAACGCAGATTAGCCCAGCGCATCGGTGGCCTTCCAGTAGCTCCACTGACATGTTCCATTAAGCTCGCGTATCTCTATAAGATTCTGCATTTGCTTTACACATGGCCGCACAAACTTTATAGTTAAACGTCCACTGTTTGTGTTCGCAGTGTCCTCCATTCGCATAGTTAATTATCGCCCCTTTGATTTCAGTCTTTACTCACTGCATCCACAATGTACCAAATATTTGAAGTGGTGCATCGGTGGCATTCCAACTGTCCCAAATTTTTGGCAGAATACTGATGTTAATGCAGTCGCCTGTTATTTTTATCACGCCGGTCTCTGCTACTGTTGGCTGCAAAGAGCTTTATCCTTGTAATTACAAGATGGAGGATTTAATTTGGAAGACACGGATGGGCGTTGCCGCGGTAGTTGGGGTGGTTTATTCGCATTAATTTTGGCACATCTGTTGAAGATAGGAACGGAAGAGTGAAGCTAACATGCGTAAAGAAAACGACAGAAAGGAACACACACTAATTTCTGGCCACTTTGTGACGCGAGTGATAATAGTTGTTCTCGAGGGAGTTGTCGTGGAGGACAACAGCTGGAAAAACAAGGCGGGCCATGTGGTCGCAGCGAATTTTTGGTGGCAGGAGCGATAGCAGCATCCTTGGAACAAGAGCAAAGACAGTCATTAGCAAAACGTATTTTATTTGAAAGTGAAGTCGAATTATGACGAATTTTTGATTGCTAAGCTGATTATCGCATGATTGTAGCATGAAAGTAATATGAACTTAAAAAAGAAGGCAAGAATAGAACGAACTATGTAATGCAGATGTAGAAATATTGCTTGTACAGGAAAAATAAGTACGAGAGAGTTAAGACGTTTCGGTCCATATATACGTCTTAGCTCAACAACGCAACTGGACCTCGTCAGTATGACGGTCACGGTGCTCAGAGGTGAGAAGAAAAAGGAATCGAAGACAGGAAGAAAGAAGAAGAGAAGATAGGATAGAGAAGTTTTTTTAATTATATCAGATTTAGAGTAGTTGAAAAAGATTAAAAAGTTGTAATGTAAAAATAGAAAAGTGTCGAGAGGAGGAAGTAGCAATATGAACGGAACGCTAATAACGCGACTTATACATGCATGTTGGATGGTACAATTATTGTAGAAGAGCGTTTATCAGATGTTGACACAGTGCTACCGTAGGGTATATTTCTGTGTACAAATGTGTTGACTAGACGATTAATGTTGCGAGAAGAAAATCCTTTATGGGAGTAGTAGAGGAGAAGACGACGAGCGGATGTGATAAATCCTTAGTAAATGGATTCGACAACTAAGTATCTGTTGAGCTGGCTGTAGACAATACCGCTGTGGACAGAGGGATATAAATTGCTGCGAAGAGAGGGGTGTTTAATAACAGGAAAGGTGAAAAGATCGGTCTTGCAGTATAGTGAAGAAACGATGCGAGCATTGCTGCCTATGGAAATGGTCAAGTCTAAGAAGTTGACGATGGTACCTAAAGCTGTACATTCTATGTCTAGGTCCTGGCCATATATGCCTAAAGCTGTCTACAGGCTTTAGACATTGGGGGGG